AGAGGTGAGTGGATGTGGGGACCTACCTGGGAGCACCCCAGCTGCTCAGTCCCAGGCATCCATCAGAACAAACTACACATCAAATTGCAACCTGATGAGATGCATTAAACATCACTGAGTTGTGATGCAGCGTGTCAATGAAGGAACAAACCCATTATTCTGTCATGGCACAGCCTAACAAAGCCTTTCTGTTTCATAGACCCAAATAATTCACTCCTGCTTACATAGTGTGAGATCTGATAAGCATTTATATACTCCAGCAGGAGGGGCAGCCAACAGAATGAGCCAAAACCAGCTTGCATAACTCCCCGCCTCTCCCCAGTCTTTAATTTGGCCATTTTCAATTGCAGCACCTGGTAGTTCATTAAAAGTCTGTTCAGCGGTGCTGCAAGGCTAAGGCAGGCTAATCCCCATCTGTCCTGGCACCACACTGCACCTGGGAAATGGTCAACAGGTCTGGCCCCTAGGCTGATGGGCAATGGGGCTCCATGCACTGCCCTTTCCTTGAGCATCAGCTCTGCATTTCCATTGGCCAGGAACTTCCTACTCCCCTCCCTCACCATAGGCACGACCTGCTGGCTACTTCCGGGGCACAGTGCAGAACCAGGACAGGTGGGGAGCTTGTCTTAGCCTCCCTGCAGTGTTGACTAGGAACTGCCTAAAGTAAGCATGTACCCAACCCCAAGCCTGTCCCTCCAAAACCCTCATCCCCAGCCCCATGCCAGAGTCCACACCTCCTTTCCACACCCAACTCCCGGCTTCAACCTGCATTTTCCCCCCACATTCTGAATCCCTTGGCCCTGCCTACAACCCCCTTCTACACCTCAAACCCTCATCCCAGCCCCTGCCTAGAGCCCTCACCCTCTTCCACACTGCAACACTCTGCCCCAGACCTGTGCTGCATCCCAACCCCATTTCTGGCCCCACCCTAGGGACTGCATCCCCACTTAGACCCCTCACTCCCACCCTCCAAATGCCTGCCCCAGCGGGGGGGGGGGGGCAGGATGGAGAATGAGCCACCAAGGGAGAGGCAATGTAGTGATTGGGGGGTCAGGACCTCTGGAAAGGGCGGGGTCTCACAGAAGGGGCAAGGCTAGTGAGTTCAAAATTGGTGACCCTAGAATCACTACTAAATCCAGCCATGCCCTCTTGCTTCCCTACTTCCCTTGCTTGACTACTTTCTTCCACTATTTGATCTGAGGAAGTGGGTCTGGCCCACGAAAGCTCATCATCTAATAAACCATCTTGTTAGTCTTTAAAGTGCTACATTGTCCTGCATTTTGCTCTTGCTTCCCCTGAGAGATGCCCCAGAACACTTCCGTTCTATTCCCCTTCGCCAAACCCCCTTCTTTATCCATACTAAGGAAGTTAAAATGGGATTAACTGACTAGTCAACTAGTTGATTGGCACTTCCGCTGGGGCTCTTGTACAGTTCAAAGGAGGAATGCGGAACTCCAAGTACAGCCGGGGGCCAGTGGGAAGTCCCGCTGACTCTGGGGTGCACTCAGGTGCCTGCTTTGAAATGCACAAGAGTCCACATCAACTAGTTGACTAGTCGGTTAACTACAGGTGTGGGGGGGAGGGGAACCGACTAGGCAATTAGTCAAACGACTAGCCAATAATCCAATGCTTATCAGATAGTCAACTAGTCTCCTACGTCCCTAATCCATACCCGCCTGCACCCAGCTAAGGGCAGAGGGAAACGGGTACCTGACACCGCACTAGGTGCGAGCTCTATGCACCCACCTGGCCAGAGACAGGGCCAGCCCCTGGGGGCCCTAAGCAGGGTTTCTCACCCCCTTTCCCCCCAAGGGGTCCCGGTCTGCTCATGGCTTGTGCATGGCCTAGGCAGCGGGCATGGACTTGCCTGGC